AACAATTCCTGCAGGATATTGATGAGATAACAGATTACTGTATGCACTGGGTTAGATGAGGAAGGGGAGGACGAGAGGGAAAATGAGGGATGAAGAAAGGATGGATAGAAGTGTAGTAAAGATAACAGAGCATGTCGATGAATTGTAAGTATTGGGGTAATACTACCTGTTAAGAGCCACAGGCGCTGCCGTAATAATGCCTAGATAGTGCAAAAATACTGGCCCTTAACTCACTAAACTAATCCATCCTAGGTTTAAATTTTCGAACCCTGGCTTCATGTTTTGTTTGTTTTAGACCATCCACTTGTTTTTAAGATTATTGCTGGGCTCACCAACGACCGCAAATTATTATTTTAAATGCTGGACCTCCCAACGGCCGCAAATTATTATTTTAATTTGAACTGATTCGCCACTGATTCATATTCGGAACATTCTCCAATGGTACAGTTTCGTCGACAGCCGTGCCATTGACTTCGGTTTTGTGCCCATCATATTCATTGCACACCGTACATTGGAATTAGCGGATCAATGGAAGGCTATTTTTGTCGCTTTGGTACCAATCAGTTATTCGCGTCGTCTATCTGTTATCTGTCATCATGCCAATCTCTATAGACCTTAAAAAGGGGCGGCACTGCGCTTCGTGTGATCCTTAAATTATGTTGTAATATCGTAATGGAGTGACGAATGGTTGGCGCCAACAAGCTGCAGCACATTACAGTGCTCCCAGCCAGATCTGGCGTGAAAGATATTGTCGGAGCAATGTACGCCAGCAAGAAGAGATGGGCTGGTCATGTGGCACGGATGTCAGATAACAGATGGACGAAACGGATAATGGAATGGTATCCACGCACGATTAAGCGAACACTGGGGAGAGGCTACCAGTGAGTGGAGAGACCCCATGATACGCCTGTGTGGTACCGCGTGTTCTCGGAGAGCGCAACAACGAGTTGAATGGAGAAGTTGCCAGTTGCATCAGTGACGTGACAACGAACACCGATGACATACAGCTGCTCAAGTATTCTTGTATCGCATTGTACCGACCAAAACTGAGCTTAAAACGACACTTCGTTTTAGTCCCAACTTGTAAAGGAAGTTCTTTTCATACTGAGGAGGTCCAGTCGCGGTGTTGAGCTAAAACGTATATGACTTCATGGACCGAAATGTCTTAACTCTCTCGTACTTATTTTTCCTGTACCAGCAATATTTCTACATTTTGCATCACACAATTCGTTCTATTCCTACCCTCTTTTTTAAGTTCATATTACTTTCATGCTACAATCATGCGATAGTCAGCTTATACGGCCCTCAAGAGGTTCAGAAATGTTGCCTCATTTCCTAGCTTTGCGTTTATTTTCTTCCAACTTTAAAATATTTTCTTATTTCTTTCTCCGTAATTTTGTGATTTCTGCTTTCGTATTAGAAATTTTGCATATTCATTTCTTCATGATGACGGACTAACCTTTTAAATCGTTCGTTCGCGTCCGTGTAATTCATTTCATAAGTAATTTAAGCGGTGAGTAGAGGTGCGATTTCTATTACAGATGGATAACACGGATAATTACAGTGCACGGGGTGAGATGATACGTCAATTCCAGGTCTGTGCATCCTTAATTTTCTTTTTCTTTTCGAAATTTTTGTTTGGGTTGTATTTTTTGCTAATTTAAATGAGGGACATTTTTATTTGTCCATGAGGGGTTTGTTTTTGTTGTTTTTAATAAAAGAGGGTTGTATTTTATTGTATTTTTCAAGGGGATTTGTTTTTGTCGCTTGTAAGCGGTTTTAATTTTTGCTATTTTGAGTGGCAGATATTAGCTTGTGAGGGATCTTTGTTGTATCTTTTTTGCGCATATTATGAAAAATGGCCATTTACAATAGCGAAGAAGTGAACGCTGGCTATGACGGAGAGAATGATGGAACGAAGGATGTTTGAAGTATCTATTCGTGACCATATAA